AAGACAAATTAAATTAATTGTACATTATCAACCTTTTTATAAAGATTATACCAAAAAAATAATCTTATACCAAAAACGCCTTTTTATAAAGAACCACTAATAGGGGGTCCTCTTCAAAATTGGACCACCGATTTTTATGATTCTGTTGATATTCATTAATGGCAGGCAAGTCTGTTTCACGTGTCATCAATATAAATTTAATAATAATAAAAAATAAAAAAACTTCTATCTCATCCACCCTAACGGCCAAATTCCAAAATATAATTAAAAATATTTTATTTTAATTTATATATATATATATATATTATATTCTTTAAAGTAAAATGTTAAATTTTTAGTAAATGACAAGATAATTTACCTATATAATATTTCAATTATAAAACTTCTCACTCCTAATGCGTTTCAAGTTCAAATGATTTACTATATTCATTACATAATCGAATTACAATTGCTAACATTGACACCACAGAGAGGTTATAACATCTTAAACTTGTTCAAACAACAAAAGGGATGAAGAAACTCTTCAAGCTTTTTCATGAGATGAGTCAGGATAAGAGCTCTGTCCATTCGTGCGTGTGCATATCAGAAGGACACAACGGTAAACAACATACTAGTTCCCCTCTTCCGCACCCACCCATTCATTCCTCTCTTATTTTCTATATTATACCAACGAGAATTAACATCGTATCTTCCTCTCTGATCCTTGTACTTCCACACTGATCTCCCTCCCCGCCTCCTCCACACAAACCTTACCCACCTTACGCAGCAATGTCCACCACTAAAACATCAATTTTTTTTTTCTGAATAACCTCACCCCCATTTTATTTATTAAAATGACCCATTTACTATTTAAGGTGAGAAATCGGTTGGGAGAACCAATTTCTCACCTTCAGTTTTTATAACATTGAAAAGTTTGCAGTGAGAAATCGGTTAACGAAAAACCGATTTCTCAACTGCAAGATTTTGTTTTGTTTTTTTTTTGTTTTTGATTTTTCTTTTGTTTTTTTTTTTCGTTTTGGTATTTTGTTTTTTTTTTGTTTTTCGTTTTTGTTTGTATATTTTTTTTTGTTTTTGTTTTTTTATGTTTTTGGTTTTTGTATTTTGTTTTTTATTTTCATTTTTGGTTTTTGTTTGTTTGTTTTTTTTTATTTTGTTTATTCAGATTTCTAATTTTTTATTTTCGTATATTAATTTTAAATATTCAGTTTTTTTTATAATTTTTTTAGTATTTTCAAATAAAATAATTTAGTTAAGTTTGTAGAATAAAAATAAATAATGAAATAATTATTAATTAAATAAATAATGAAATAAATATTAATTAAAATTTTTAACAAAAGATAAAATATTTATATAAAATACTAGAAAACAAAATACAATATTTGGAAGGTTTGATGACATTTTAAGGTTGATGACTTGAACTTCCTTGACGGTAAGGACATTTTTTCTTTGAGTGACCTACATTTCTGCAGAGAGAACATCTTTTTGGTTGTCCTGGTTCAACCATATCCATTTCAGTGCGTATTCTGGATGACTTTGGACGACCTTTTTTATTTCTAATCTTTTCCGGATTTGGTATGATTTGCGGTTCTTCACAATCCGGCCAATAAGATTCATTAGGCAGTTCACCAAATAATTCGTTATACACATTTGAAACATATTGTAATGTGTATACCGGATCTATGTAAGATTTATAATCGTGGTGAACATGCTTACATGCAGCAACAACATGGGAGCATGGCATGTGTAGCTTTTGGAATTTTCCACAGTCACACCAGTTGTCATGTAGTCTAACCGTGAAAGTTCCAGTAGGTCGTGTTTCCCTTGGGTTAATGGTCTCTTGCACCAAAAAACGTGTACTGTGACGATCAAATTCGAGGACATGATGAGTATTAGCCTTTGATTCTGCATCTCTCATGGCCCTATTCATTATTTCCGTATAAACTTGGCCAGCCCTAAGTTTAGCATCGACTTCCTTCCCCCTTTGGATGAATAAGGCATTACATCTCTTATAAGTCGACATGATGATTGCAGAAATTGGCAAATTTCTTGTTTTTTTAAGAATGGAGTTAATTGCCTCAGCCAAGTTGGTAGTCATGTGTCCCCATCGTCGGCCACCGTCCCATGCAAGAGTCCATTGTTCTTTTGGTATGGTGTTGAGCCATTCAATTACACCTTCAGTTTCTGGTTCGCTCCTTAGCGTGTTGTAGTAGTAATTGAATCTTGGCTCAGTCATCCCATAAGCTGTGAAATCAGATTTTGAAAAAATGAACAATTTAGTAATGTTGAAATATGATGAAACAAATTAAAGTAATTAATGATGCTAAGTACATACCCATATTGATGATTAATTTTTT